TTGTCAACTTTAAGAGGCCAGTGATGCAAACAATGAAATACTCATAGAGACACATATGAAGAAGGATAAACCATTATTTTTAAAGGAAGATTTGTCAGAGCCCAAACAGATTGAAACAGGTGAGGGATGCGAAGAATGTTTTATATATATAAAAAAAATCCATATAGATAGTGAAAGCATGATATCAAGCAAAAATTAAATAATGTAATCAAGTTTTTTAATAATTTCAAATATAATGCCAATAAACGCAGATGTGTAAATAAGCTGATATTCCAATGAAAAATAAACGGTTACACTTTTTTTAAGGTGTTCTTGTTACAGTGTAATTATACATTTAAGTACTGAGTAATATTAATTAACAGCACGTATTTACTATAGGGTTAGGTTTAGGATTAGGGTTTTGGTTTTGTATTTGTTTTAGACAAGTACCATTCATTAAAGTATAAATGACTGAAGATGGCCAGAGGTGGAGAGGCTTTAGTCTAAGCAGACAGGTTATGGGAGAGCAGTGCTAAGCACAGAGAATGCAATGAACATGTCTGCATGAAGCATATGTAACACAAAACAGAACCAGCAAAGTGTCAGTATGGGAATCAAATGCTTAATGACCTTTCCACTGACAGTAAAAGCAAAGCGAGAACATATCTACCACCTTAGCGCTAAACCATATGACTCAATTTCAAGTTATCCAGCAATGTTTTTTTCACAGAGATGTACAGACCCATACTGCTGCATTGGACAAACACACTACATGTGGGGTATTATGCATGCATATCATGCATAAATGCATTTTGATTATGGTCACTTTAAATTCTGAGGGCAGAGGTCAATGTACAGGCAGAGGGAGGGATGGACAAATGAGGGACTCATAACTGAGTCAGTACAATTCAATCTGGTGAGATGGCATGGGGAGAGAGACAACCTTGCAACTTAGCACTAAACATAGTGCCTGTAGAGTAAGCCAGCTGTCCAACTCTGATTTCAACGGAAGAGACAGCAGCGGATGTGCATATAGGTGCTCAGAATCTCAAGTAAATCTCAGCTTTTTATATATATATATAAAAAAACTATGACCTACAGTAAAAGCAAAGGGAGAACATATCTGGCACATTAGCACTAAACCATGTGACTCAATGACAAGTTATGCAGCAATGTTTATTTTCACTAAGAGTTACAGACACATACTGCTGAACTAGAAAACACACCACATGTGGGTTATCATATTTGCATTTCATGTGCATAAATGATTTTGATTACAGTCAGTTTTTTATACAATAAAAAAACTAAGCTAGAGGGAAAAAACTAGAATGGTAGCAGGGTTACATATTTAGCCTAAATTAATATAATAATGATAATAAATATTTATTATCATTATTACAATTAATTTTATATAATTTCAATAAATTGTGTATTATGAAATTGTTGCATGATTTTAATTGTTGGATACAGTCGAGAAAGCCAAGGCCAAAATCACCATTCTAAGGTACAGATGTGTTTAAAACGAGCAAATTTTTTTATGCTAGATTCATGTTGTTTGCTAAAATAAAAAGTAATCAGACACCAATTTTTTACCCTATTTGTAGGAAGTGAAATATATAAAGATCACACATCAACATCAGTCCCACACTTTTGTCATGGGATCGCTGGACACGTCCCACCTCTGCTTATGTAAGTTAAAATGGAATAAACCGGCTGTCTGTTAAAACAGACTGGAGCTCAATTACATCTCTCGTTTCATCAGCCTGGGCCTTAGCAACTTGACTTGCTGACTTCTAATTTAAATGGTGAGTTGGCTGGGTTATACTGTTGACTTTTAAAACCTGAAGTGGAGAGCAAACACAATCTGAATACTTATGTCACATATAAATTTGTTTGAAAGCATGTGCATCGTACAATCCTGAAATACAACAGCTATCGGATAGCAGGAGACCGTCATACACATTCAGCTAAATATATCTCAAGGTACTCAGCTGACTGTTGAGTTATACAACAATGTGCAGACAGGAATTGACAAGTGCAACAACTTAAAGTAAAATTCTCATTTGCAAGGCATTTATTATTTGTGTGGTTCATTATCTTTTACAATCAGAGATAAAAAACAGAATAATTGCTCTAGGAACCAATTCAAAGATGGAAGACTATGGCTGTATTTTTGACACAGAGCTTTCAGAAGTCATGCCCTACGAATGGGGTCCAAAGAAGGTGCCATTATAACAGCTGTAGACACTAGACCCTATAGGTCTAATGTTTAGAAGGTTCTCTACATCAAATTACATTGCATGTAGATGTGATACTCTGCATGTAGACTCTGCAGTGGCCCCTACCCCTATTAATTCTTAAAAGACATAGGTGTATGCTGTTATGAGATAAGGGGGATTTCTCTGTTCATGGGGACCCCCACACACCCCATTATGCCCCACTCTCTGCTGGTTACTGTCCTCTCTCACTGCTAGGCATGCTAGGGTGTTGGATGCATGGCTGCTAATTTTGGAACAGACTGTGAGCTTGAGTTTTTTCCTTTCCCCTTTTAGCCCTTGACTTCTCCACCAAATCCAAAGGCTCTCCTGCAATATAGCATACAAAACTCAATGTTTTTTTAAACTGCAGAGATTTGGTCATCAGCAAAATAGGACATTTTGATCTGTCTTTGTACTTATTTTCATATCAAGTAATCCTGAGGTAAGAAAAATAGAAGTATAGATCACATCAGTGTCTATAGATACAAATGGGATCTGGCAGTTTTTGGCACAAGAAGGGGATAATGGTTAAACTAAGTTTGTCACATTGTGACACACAGACAGGGTGTAAGTGTGAAATTGGACCCTAAGTATTAATATAGAGTAAGGGGGATGGTTGAGTTGTCCTCTTCCTTCTTTCTGTACTGCACAAACCTGTCCCTTCACTGATGTTATGGGATTTTTTTTCTCAACAGGGTTCCTGAATATTCCACCCACCTGCTCAGTCATGTGCTCTTGAAGCATTTCCCAGGGAGGGAACCACAAATGAACCAATGGATGCACACTTGTGTTTTACTTATTCAAAAGAAAACTCCAGTGTGTTTCCTTGGGATTGTAGGGTTGAATTAAATAGATAAGAAATAATTAGTCCTGATCATGGATGTCCAAATTTTTGGTATAGTTCCAAGACCATCAGGCTGTGGATATGTCCAAAGGCAACTGTGTTCTGTTTTTTTTTCTGCAATGAAGAAGTTTAGTTTTATTTATGTAGGACACTGGTTTCAGATTGGCTGATAAGGCACCATAGCATCATGTCAAATGAGACATAAGAACAAATTCAAATGATCTTTAGAGGGAACTAAACTGAATGACTCCAATGCTTATTTCTCAGGAGAAATGGAATCATAAATGTTAAAAATGGGAAAAAAATAACTTCTGTGATAACTCCATTTAACCAGCTACTAAACTGTAAGCGGACTGGATTGTGTGATGTCACATTCTGCCTTTGAAAACCATTCGGATGATTATGCAAAGTGCCATATTTACACATATTCTCTCAGGTATAATTAACAAAAATATGTCATAGTTGCAATTTTTATATTGCTTGCAATGGTTTAAGTAGTACAGATCACTAACTGGACACTGAGAACACTACTGGGTACAGTACGAACTGTCTTCACCTCAAGGGACACATGATGCCTTCTCCTACGCAAAGTACATCTTACAAGACATGGACGAATATAGGGCTAACTACTACTTTAGTGAGAACAGTTAATAATGTATGCTATTTCATAAGTAAACAATATGTTTTAGCATAAAAAGTGCATATACCATATAAAGGCATTTTTAACTGAAAGTGAATATTATGATACATTTTTTGTGGGCTTTGTTTAAATGTTAGTCCTTTTTCGCAATTTCTCTGTGAAAAGAATAAAGTAGCAAAGACAGTTTTAGGCCTCAACACAACAGTACTATCCAAGTAATAACTGAATGCATTATAGGTCTTAAAATGAGGAAATTAAGCTTTTTTTTTGTGCTTCTACAGTGTCTTCGAGTTATTTCATAACTGAGCAAGAGAGAGAACGTGCCACTGTGAGGGGGTGGGGACAGCTGTCTCCTGTCTCGGGTGTTGTGATGTAGCTTCTTTCCTTTTAGAACCTGAAACCCCAATCAAGCACCGCAGCTGTCCAATGAGATTCAAGCATGCATGAGCCGAGCAACCAATGGGCAGCAAACATCGAAGTATATAAACCAAGGTCTGACATCTTGCAAAGCTGGGCAACCCCTACATTGGCTTGGTGAACAGGATCTGATCCCAAGGACTGTTACATTTTCTCCCATACAGGTAAACTCAGCTACGGTTCAGAGATTTTACAAGGGTGGGAATAACGGGTATTTGATGAAACATGAAAAACTTCAGCAAAAAGGACGTAATACATTGCAGCTTTATGTGCCAAAATATTCCCCATACAAATTAATGAAACCTCATTGGGGTTAATGACCAGATCCCAGATGCACAATATCTGGATTCTTCTTGAATTACTCTCTTGATTGTTGGAGTATTAGACATGCTGTTTCATATTTTTAAAGTTGCTTTTCTCATGGCAGACCTGTAGAAAGCTTGTCCTTGCCTGATAAGCTTCAAAGAGTCCTAATGCATTGGAAAGCTATTAAATAGGCAGTCTGGAGTAGATTGCTGTCTATGGCAGGAATGATCTGTGTGTGCGCTTGACACCTGCTGTAATTCGGTGCAAGGTCATGTCATCTGGGGGAATTTATAGCTGATGTATTTTACTTAAGTCTATTTATACTTCAGATATTGCATTCTTTTTGTATGAATGCAACTGCATGCAAAAGCTGTGAATATGTGGACAAATAGATTAGGATGATTGATTACTCCTAAACTGTAAGCGTTTGATATTTCTAACATTTTGCTAATTACATTTTGCAAAAGCTAAATTGACATGGGCATAATACCAATTATGGGATTGAGTGTGCATGCTCCACCCTCAGCAGAAAGTAGAGAGGTGAATGTGCTATCTGCTTTGAGTGATGGGAGTGAGTTTGGCACCCATGCTAAAAATATCACCAGCTGTCTGATGCATATAAGCATGCGAGCTATTCAACCACCACTCCATGTAGAAATATGAGGTGCTGGTTAGACATAGCACCATATTTTGTTACTAGGAGACTGAAGTTTACTTGGGACACAAAATATAGTATGCATTAACCTTGTCTGCAACTGCTGGCATCTTAATCTGGAAACTAGCGCTGCTTATCCTTGACCTAATGCAAATGGTTAGTTGGTCATAATTCTCTGTTTCAATGTTAGCGTTGAGAGACGCTGGTTCCCCTTCTTTCTTGGGTCCAATGAGTAAGCTACACCTTAGTAGGCCTGGGACAATGCTCCTGGTTGTCCACCCTAACAACGGCTCTGCAGACAAGATTTGCAGACTTATCTAAGTCGCCAAAGCACATAGTAAGTACTTTGCCAACTTACCTTACTACTTGTCTATCGGCAGATCGCCGGAAAAGTGCAATCATGACTAAGAACTGCAACAACGATTACAAGATGAAGTTCTCTCTGGAGGAGGAGTACCCTGACCTCTCCCAGCACAACAACCACATGGCCAAGGTCCTGACTAAGGACATCTACAACAAGCTCAGGAGCAAGTCAACCCCCAGTGGATTCACCCTGGATGACTGCATCCAGACCGGTGTGGACAACCCTGGTTAGTAGAACATGTCTGAATACATTCCCCCATAGTGGCCGATCTCTCGAGATACCACAAGCAATGTTTTACTTAGAAGATACATAAAGCACTACCTTTTGATACCAATTCTAGGCCATCCCTTCATCATGACCGTCGGCTGTGTGGCTGGTGATGAGGAGTCCTACGAAGTCTTCAAGGAATTGTTTGACCCCATCATTTCTGACCGTCACGGTGGCTACAAGCCCACCGACAAGCACACTACTGATCTGAACTGGGAGAACCTGAAGGTATGCTAAAGTTCTTTACATTATCATGGCGGTTTTAATCTACTGTGGCTGATGTTTACCTGTGCGCAGGGTGGTGATGACCTTGACCCCAACTACGTTCAGAGCAGCCGTGTGCGTACCGGCCGCAGCATCAAGGGAATCACCCTGCCTACCACCAACAGCCGTGGTGAGCGTAGAACTGTGGAGAAGCTGTCCATTGAGGGTGAGTCTCACTGACATTATGTCCTGACATCCACAAAGCAACATGCATGGTCTTACTGACGTTCCTCTCACAGCTCTGAACAGCCTGGATGGCGAGTTCAAGGGCAAGTACTACCCTCTGAAGGACATGACTGACAAGGAACAGGAGCAGCTCATTGCTGACCACTTCCTGTTTGACAAGCCTGTGTCCCCCCTGCTGTTGGCTGCTGGCATGGCTCGCGACTGGCCTGACGCAAGAGGCATCTGGCACAATGACAACAAGACCTTCCTGGTGTGGGTGAATGAGGAGGATCACCTGCGTGTCATCTCCATGCAGAAGGGCGGCAACATGAAGGAGGTCTTCAAGAGGTTCTGCGTTGGCCTGCAGAAGGTAAACCCCATTACTTTTAATCCTTTGGTCATCTACTGCGAAGATAAGCAACCAAAGGCCTGACTCCTTGTTGTATATTGCAGATTGAGGAAGTCTTCAAGAAGCATAACCACGGTTTCATGTGGAACGAGCATCTTGGTTTCATCCTGACCTGCCCCTCTAACTTGGGTACCGGCCTGCGCGGTGGTGTCCACGTCAAGCTGCCCAAACTCAGCACACATGCCAAATTTGAGGAGATCCTGACCAGACTGCGTCTTCAGAAGCGCGGCACAGGTGGGCTTGAAATCGCTGAACGTATAAAATGGCAGAGTTACACTGTGATCATCATTTTGAGAGACTCTTTGTGCTTCTATTATGCAGGTGGTGTGGATACTGCCTCTGTCGGTGGTGTGTTCGACGTCTCCAACGCTGACCGTCTGGGCTCCTCCGAGGTGCAGCAGGTGCAGATGGTGGTCGATGGTGTGAAGCTCATGGTTGAAATGGAAAAGAAACTGGAGAAGGGCGAGTCCATCAGTCCGTCAGAAAAAGTTTTTTTTTTTTTTTTTTTTTTTTTTTTTAATTTGTTCTTTTAAGCAGTCATGCCATCTTGACTTTTCCGAGACACTCCACCCTGCTCCCTTTTTTCCTACTTTTTTTCTCTTTCCTTTCTTTCCTGCTGTCTCCTTTTTCCTGCACTTTTCCTTCTTATCTTCCTGTAACATCCTGGGATCAAACCTCCACATAGCTAGAAAACCCTAGCTATGTTGTATTCACCTAAACTTTTTTTTTTGGTTGTACAAAGTTAATAAACGGCCCCATGTAACAATCAACTGTGTTTTAAGTCTTTACATTCTTGACAAGTCAGACACAGCTGTGAACTTTATGTATGTAATGTATAATTATGGGGGATCCATTCAGAATTTTCAAACATCAACTGAACATCAAAACATAATCTGAACTTTATGCACACTTTCATGAATACAGTCAGCTAAGCTGACCCAAAAGTCATTTTGAACACTAAAATAGCAGTAATTTGTGCAGAATAGCACAATGACAGTCAACAATAGTTCAAGCATGGTTTGTCATTTCTTTCAGTTATTATGAAGCCAGATCACGTTTGTTTGAATTATAACAAGTTAGAATATTTGCAAATCTTACACAATATATATTCAACCTGTAATGCAATAAATTAATAGAAATTGCTGGTACAAAAGCAAATATGTTTTAGATAATTACTCGAATGAATAACACACTTCCCAAAGACCAAAGAGCAAATTGGAAAGTGTGATTTGAAAAGCACACATACACTAATCCAAATAGGTTCATACCTGTATCTCTGGATATCTGGTTTAGAGCTACCAAATGAGTATGATTTGGCTTCCAAAAAGAAAATAATTAATTACTCTAGATAATAAGATCTCTATTGTCAAGTATTCCTTATATATTCCCAATATATTTCCTTAAAACTTGCATTAAGCAAATATCTTATACATTTTTAACAGAACAAAATAAACAGACAGACAAATCACTGGATTTCAGACAAATGTTGTATTAATCATTCTTGCATTTTCTCACATTGCACAGCTCAGACATATTCCAATCTTGACGATGAGGACTTACGATGTCAAATCAGAGATAAACAAAGTCAACAGTCTGTTTGTGGCCATTCAGCAGAGTGCACTTCTGGCAAGATAACAGAGGTTTCTCATCAGCGTAACAAATACAAGAGCAACACAAAGAGCATTGTGTCTCGACTTGGCTCGATAAATTGCACCATTTGAAGGGAGAACTGCTTTTAAACAGGTGATGTTGCTCACTCAGCCCTAAAGTGCTACGGTGTGACCATATAATATGACGAATCTAAAAACAAGGAGGCTCAGGAAAGCAGACATCACCTACTCAACCTGCATCACTGGCAAGTTTGACGACCAACAAAATCATTAAAAAATGAGGAGAAAACGCTATCACTTTCAGCACTTGCATTGTCAGCGGCTCCGCATGTTGTCTACGGTTCGAAATGGCGTGGCTTTCACATGTGTTTTTTGTGAATATGGTTATTTAAACGAGGATAAAATTAAACATACTCTTCTCGCCGGCACAGCGGAAGATTAGAAATCAAAAAATGAGTTAAATAGCAGCAGTTAAAAGGAATGACAATGTACAGAGTGAACACGTGACAAAAAATGGGTGTTAAAAAACAAGATGGCTAAGATACCAGGTAAAATCAGCGGTAAAACAGGCCTGGTAAAGGGTGTTCCTTCAGCAGGTGCCCAGTTCTCAATGTATGTGTGCCAGTCTTTGTAGGCTTAGAGGGGGCGGGGCTACGTCCACTCATCCCATCTTTCTGTCCCATGCTTTTGTCCCTGCTCTCCACCCCCTCTTGCCCTCAGAGTTCCAGTTCTTTGGACACTTTGGTGGCGATGTCCCGAAAGGCAAGCGGTGCCCCCCACAGGCGCTTAAATCGAACACCGCTGGTCTCGGCGGGGAAGAGAAAAATATATTAGAAATATGTAAGAGCAAAAATGTTCACTTCATAGAAACGGAGTAAACTGTGTGGACTACTAGTCTGTGATATTATTTAAAAAGGTAACACTTTGTAGTAAAGTTCTATTTGTTTACATTAGGTAGAGCATTGGGCAACACCAATTAACAAGAACCAACTTTTAATTCTTTTACATTTAATAATCTAGATTAATGTTAATTTTTAATATACACTATTGTTTATTGATAATTCATGTCAGTTCATATTACATTGAAACTATTTTTTTAAAACTAAAACTGTGTGAGAAGAAATTAACATTAATTTTGATTAATAACTGCTTTAATCATTGCTTGTTAGTTTATGATATGTAATATGTTAAAGGGATAGTTCACCCAAAAATGAAAAATTGATGTTTATCTGCTTACCCCCAGGGCATCCAAGAAACACAAACCGTTGCAGTCTGTCAGTCTTATAATGGAGGTGAATGGGAATCACGGCTAAAACATACAATAAAACAACAAAAAAATTTTTTTTATTAAAAATAAATTTGAAAATAAAAATGTGCGGATCGCAGACTTATAAGTGCATTACCGCCACCTATCTCTCAAATGGACCATTGACACTCCTAAATTGAGATTGTAGATAGAGTCTCAATGGTTCATTTGAGAGATAGGTGGCGGTAATGCACTTATAAGTCACTTATAAGAAGACGAAGACGCCTCACGCGCCTGCTGTTGAGAACGCGCTCAGGAAAGTTCGAACAGTTCGGACATTGCGTGAATCAGAGGTAAAAAACGATATAAATACTGTTCAGTTTCTTGCACAGACCGATCGTTTTGTGTCTTTACACATCAATGTATCGTCATGAGCCGCAGGGTTTAATTTGGTTTTGTTTGTGTATGTTTTTTTTTTAGTTTTATTGTATGTTTTAGCCGTGATTCCCATTCACCTCCATTATAAGACTGATAGACTGCAACGGTTTGTGTTAAAAATCTTCGTTTGTGTTCTACTGAAGAAACAAATTCACCTACATCTTGGATGCCCTGGGGGTAAGCAGATAAACATCACATTTTCATTTTTGGGTGAACTATCCCTTTAACTAATGTTAACTGAACCATGTGGTAAAGTGTTACCAACAAAATCTAAATAGTTTGAAATAAACATCCTAAAAAAGTCTGAACCCCTTCTACAATCAAAAAAGAGAGGAAATGTTCAAATAAACACTAAAACCTGTTACCTGTCAGGAGACACTGGACTTCTTCAGGATAATAAAACCATTTTCAAAAACAGTTACAATCTGAGCATTATTTAAATTCAGTGTGACTATCAGAAAAAACTGGAGAACATTTTGGAAGGCCTGAATAAAATGTGAATGCCATTAATTTAAAAAACAAATGTCAAGACATACACTGCCATTTAAAAGTTTTGGGTCTGTTATATATATGCATTTTTAATGTTTTTGAAAGAAGTCTCACCAAGGCTGCATGTATTTGATCATAAATACAGTAATATTGTGAACAATAATTACAATTTTAATATCCATTGTATTTTTTCTTTTTCAAATATATTTTAAAATGTAATCTATTCCTGTGATGGTAAAGCTGAATTTTCAGCAGCCATTACTTCAGGCTTCAGTGTCACATGATTTTTTGAGTAATCATTCTAATATGCTGATTTGCTGCTCAAGTAACCAAAGAATATAATATAAATGTATATTGAATATAAAATTTAAGGGACAGCATTTATTTGAAATTTCATTTTAAAGACATTATAAATGTTTCTAGTCACTTTTCATATATTTATGCATCCTTGCTGAAAAAAAGTATTACTTTCTTTTTGTTTTTTTAAAATAAAAATCTTACTGACCCCAAACCTTTGCGCAGTAGTATATAAAAAAAACATTCATACTTCAATTAATGGGGGCATACAAATATAGGGATAAAATATAATAATAATAATCAAGCAAAAATATTGGGTAGAGCACTACTGTGTGTTTATGCTGAAATTAACAAAACTCAGAACAGATTCCTGTGCAGCCATACATCACTTGTCATGCACTACACACATTATTCCTAAATGTAAATCTCAACTGGATGTAAACTGCATTCAAAGTACATACACTTAGCAGCTTTTAACAAAAAATATTTGGAGATTAATAATTAAAAATGTCATTCAAACATCCATGTTAAAAACTGAAATGTGATTTTCCAAATGCAACAGCCAACCACTGTCAGTGAATATGGAAAAGGTAAAGGGAAGGACAAGTACGGATCTAAATAAACTCTACATACACCTAAGCTAGTTTTGATGCACACAGTACACAGTTCTATACAATTAACAAAATGCAGTCACATTCTGATCAGTCTGATCTGCCATGGCACGGATCACATGCTAGAAATTACCTGTATTTTTTAGCCTGACTTTTTGTAGTTGTATCTGTAGCTAAGAAGAAGTAACAGAGAGTTAAAATCGTATGAGGAAGTTTTTATTTTTTCCGAGCAAATATCATTAAATCATCTATCTGGATGACCGTTTCATGCTATTATTATTATTCATTTTCCTCTACCTATTTTCTGTCTTTTGTCTGTTTGAGTTGTTTGCTTGTTTTCTGCAATGAAGAAGATGGTCCAAAATTGGAGGATGGATGGCTTATGTTACTTCCTCAGTCATTTGTGTGTATTAAAAAGAATTGGGAAAAACTCACCTTGTGACCGGAGATCTGCAGACTCTCTCAGGTTCGTCTGTGACCCTCAAAAGGAAGACAAAGGTTCATGTTAGGAATCAACCAGCCAATAGAGCGACAATTATTCTTCATCCCACCCTCCACAAACAACCAATCGCAAGAGTTCACATCTAACACCACAGACTTGCACTGTTACATTGACGTCACCTTCAGCAATCCACAATAATCACCACTGACAACAAAAGAAAGTGACGACAGTGATGGATTTACAGGGTAGGATTATGTATTAAATATATTAATTACGTTTTTCAGATGTCACCACGTATTGTTTAATGTCAGTGTAACACAAATTAAAGAAACATTCACAACTGTATCCTTAAAAACTAATAAAAAATAAAATCTATATAAATGTATTTCTTGCGTGTCTGGTAATATGCTTTTAAGTTTATTAATCTACTATTCTACATGAGACGTTAGAACAATATTAGTAGTTATTAATATAGCTTTAAACAAAGAAAGTGCTAGTCGACTGATGTTCACATGAGGGCGCTATGGATCAAGGCTGCTTTTATGAGCACTAGTGAAACTTTCCATTCACATGATGTAGCAAATGAGGTGGCCAGTGGATTCCCTCTTAAAGGGATAGTACAGGGGCCTCTTCCTCA